ATAGTTCTGTATTTTGAACGCTCTATAGAAAATATAAACATCTATTATTTATCATACTTACAGGTTGTGATTCAGTGGAGCCAGATTCATCCAAACAAACTGGGTACTGATCCATCTTTCAAGAGCAAGTGTTTTGTGAAGTTGTTCGCGGCTGGTCAATGTAGAACATAGGCGGCCATTATGCAAATGTGTTACCCGTGATGTGTAGACTGTAGGCTGTTCACAGTCGATTCTTTCATTTGGGAGACAATAACTTTATTTATCGTGCACTTTCAGCTTTACAACTTTGCAGATCATTTACATTCACATTCAGCTACATTACACACTGCATGAAAGGCAATATTGGAAATGGTATAATAGGGGCACTTTAAGATCGACATAACGGTACTCACAGAAAACAATTTATCTTAACTCGGGTTTTCTGAGTAACAAAGGCATAGTGTGTAAATTACTAGATTTTTACAGTTAAGTTGGACAGTAAAGTTGACTAAACCACATTAGTTAGAATATTTGTTAGGTTTTACAGTGTAGTTATCGTTCTCGGTGTGAACAGGCATTCATACTCACAATTTCACACTTACTATCAAATGCTCTTTCTTATATCTTTTCAGAGATGATTCGTTCGGCCACACCGTTCCCCCTGGTCAGTTTGTTCTTTATGTTCATTGGTTTTGTGCTCAACAATATCGGACACATTCGGCCCCATCGCACCATACTGGCGTTTGTCTCTGGAATCTTCTTCATCCTGTCAGGTACGCTCCCTCTTCCACCTCCTCCTCTGACACATCTCATTTGTCAGACTGATGTTTGTCTCTCTCTCAGGTCTGTCTCTGGTGGTTGGTTTGGTGCTCTACATCTCCAGCATAAATGACGAGATGTTCAGCAGGACCAAGAGTAATGAGGCATATTTCAGCTATAAGTACGGCTGGTCATTTGCGTTCGCTGCCATTTCCTTCCTGCTCACTGAGGTAAAAAGCTCTTTCATTCAGACACTACCATCTACTGTCATTCTTCTCTCACTTTTCTCCATTATTAGGGCATTCGCACGGAATTTAACTTCTCTGCAGTTAATTCAGCCTGAATGTTTAATGTACTGACTCCATTCAAACGTTGTTTTGTGCATAATTTAAGTCTGACTTTAAAGGAATGTAAGATGAAAGGAATGTCAAAGAGTTCAGTACAATTTTACCTCTATTTGTAAAATGCTTAAGATTACCACATGCTATAATTTAATCTTTCTTAAGTTTGGCATAAAATCTGCAGTGACTGTGTTTAGTACTGCTCTTTCTGTTGCTGTGGTACTGTAAATACAGTATGCATTGAGCAGAACATACAGATCAGTGCATTTGTCAAAATGAGCAGTATGCAACAGAGCATACTTACTTGAGTACTGAACACTGAACCTCCATTTTCAGTTTGATGAATTTTAAATGTCTTTGATAGGCTTATAAGGCTTTTCCCCCATATAGTGTATATATATATATATATATATATATATATTTCTGTCATGAAAACTCTCCGAGGGATTGGCATGGTAATGTACATGACAATGTTAATGTATTTGGTCTTGGTGAATAGATCTGCTACGCTGCTGCAGAGCAAGTACCGTGACTTGCTACTGCCAATACATCCACAACATGCTGCTGTGAGCATGTAAGAAATACTGCTGCTGCA